TGTCCCCAGAACCTTTTGTGACTGCTGGAGGGGGAAAAGGCAATTGTCAAACAGTTTAAAGTTAACACTTTAGCCAATGTTTTCATTTTTTTCCTCACTCCTGTTGCTGCACATGGATTTCCATCAGTCACAAACATTCCCCTCCTGGGCAGCCTGTGGAAACAGCTTTATGCTGGTGCAAGGGGTTTTGAAAACCAGCATGGGAGCTTGCAACCAAAAAATCATCCTGGTTGCTTTGAACAGGTACGGCCATGCCAGGGATGTCAGCACTGTGCTCAGTGTGGGGTCCATGCTGGAGGTGCTGGGGATGGGCTCAGGTCCTCTGGGCTTCTGTGTTGGAGGGGAGGCGGCTCCTGCTTGGGGGAAGGCGGTCCTCTTTCTGAGCTTTTGATCCACATAAGGGCTCAATTTCAAAGCTTTTATTTTAAAAATTATATGATACTTGGATCCCCCTCATTAAAAAGGGTTTCTTTGCACCAGCTTTGGTGCAAACATGGAACAGCAGCTCTTCTTGATCTTGAGAGGGCTGAGCCCAAACCCTGCCACCTGATAGATGGGCAGAGCACAGTGCTCATGTTTCAGAGGCCTCACAATCAGGACCCAAACCCGAGAAGAGGTTGGGTTAGTGAGTCCAGCCAAGGAGGGTGCCGGCTGTCTTGGGTCTGTAAGGTGGGAAAAGGGATGCCTCGAACATACAGCCAGTCTGAAAAATGCTGTGGGAGCATCCAGTTTTTATTGCTGTGGAGGTCTGTGTGGGACTTACAGTGGGAAGAAAGTAATCTAGAATTGCTGGTTTAAAAAAAAGTGATGCAAGGTACGTAGTGGGTTTGACGTGCACTGTGGCACTACATGCATGGGGAGAAGCACCAAGGGAGGCTGCACCATTGCTTAGCAGTGGGATGGGGCAAGCATAGAGTGCAACGTGTGGGATGCCAAATTTCTGCCTGTTAAGTACTGTAAAAAGTTGTCCAGGATACCCGACTCTGAAACTTGGTTGGAGTAGGAGTGTCTTCCAAAACTGCCTGCCTAGGCCAAGCACCTTCCCAGCCACGACCAGCCAAAGAGGTCGCTTTGCAGCGGTGGAAGTCAGAACATTTCCATCGGTTGGGAGCATCCCAGGCTCTGCAGGGTGGTGAAGGCAAAGCTTGGTGAGGTCCAAGATGCTGAAATAGGTCAGGGCTCTGTAGGGACGGTCAGTGAGAGTTACTGCACTTGCACAGAAATACTCTCCCCTGGTGCGTTGAAATAAAGCTCAGTGCGTTGAGAAGGAGCTCACTCAGGATCTTGCATCCTTGTTTTGGGAGGGGATGGGAGAGAAGCCAGAAAAACAACACGCTAATATTCATATTAGAGGATTTAGCTCCTAGGTTCTGAGCAGGTTTGGAGGCGGGTGTGAAGGGGAGCGTGCACGCTCCTTTGCATGTGTTTGTACTCGTGCTGGGTATTTTTAGGGTGCAGGCCGCAGTGCTGCAATACAGGTGCTGGCTTTAAACCAGCTTGTTGGGGCATCTGTCTCAGACAGGCTTTGGCAGCACGTTAGCTTGCTGAGGAGGCTGTTGAATATGCCAGCAGTAATTGCTGCTCGCCTTTCCTTAAAGCAAAGGCGGAAGTGACACTGGAGTCCAATTTTCTCCTAATGACTGATTTCATTTAAGCACTGCTCAGGGCGATGCAGGCTTGGTGGTTTTGTTTTTTTTAGGGCTGGGAAAACCAACAAAACTCATCTCTCTCTGCAATGCTGAGCTGTATAGCCCCATGTCTTCTGTCCTGTGTGGTGACCCTAGTCAGTCCTGGTAGCTCACATGGCTGAAGCTCCTTCTCCTCCTCCTCATTTCCCTGGACTTTTCAGGCTGAGCCTGTCACACACACATTTCCACCCTTGTTTCTGTGAAAGCAAAGTTATTTGGGAATGATTCAGCTCCATCAGTTCTTCCTTGGGATTTGGGTAGAAGTTGCCTCAGTGACCCATCCCATCCTATTTTCCCTGCTCTGTATGTACAGGGGCAATTAAACTTAATTTATTCTGGCCTGCTCAATAATAAAGGCCAGAAGGCACTATTAGATCACAATCTGATTTAAATTTATTGATCTAATTAGTGCTCAAAGGTATAAATGGGAGATGGGAGCAGGACACTTAACATGTGATGACGCGTGGAACTGGTGCCTACTGCTTTCCTTAATGCCAGCCCTCCAGGTTGTCAGAGGCTGTCTTTTTTTCTCTCCGTGAATAACCAGTTTCTGTAGGATTTGCAGGGAAGGAGAAGACTGCTTAGCTGGACTTTGTTCTGACGATACAATCTGCGTTGTCTGCAGCTCCTGACGACCTGCCAGGGAGCCAGGTTTTGACTTTGATCCATCACATGAATGAATATTCATCAGCCTCCTGAAGGTTTAATGCTCTTTGCCTGATAGCTAACATATTCTTTCTCTAACCCTTTTTAGCCTTGGTTGCTAATAACCTGCAGCCCACTCAGCCTGCACTATAGGGTGATTGGGTTTTTTTAATTGTGTATAGATTAAAATGAGGAACCTCAATAGCTCCAAAGCTGGAAGCAGCTCAAAAATACCTTGTCTTGGTTGCTATGTGACTGTCTGCTTTAAAACCTGAAATAAAATCTCGCCTTTTGGTCTGTCATTCAAACTTCTCGTAAAACACCATCAGGAGCGTGTATCTCTGAAGAGCAGGTGTTGTTCTGAGGAAAGCTTTCCATACATTTTTGCAAGCCCAAGTCAGAGCTTGTACGTAGTAGCAGGTTTCGAGGATGAGGTTGACTGGTGTTGAAAAGGGTATGGAAAACACGCTGTGAAAGAGAACAGGTCCGTTTGCTTCAGACCAGCTGCAGAAGCAGGATCTGCATGGCATGGATCCGTGCTCTGGACATGGCACGGCCGTACCCATGAACTGGGAATGACCCAGCGACCAAACCTTGCAGAGCTGAGGATGTGCGGGTTGGGACCAAGCTCCTGAGCCGGCACGGAGCGTTGGGCAGCCATTGGCATCTTCCTATGCATCCTGCTCCTCATGCCTCTTCAAATCCCAATCCTGCGACATTTTCCTCTATGGAGGAGTGGACAGAGTTCTGTGTGTCTGTGGTTTGTTTGTTTCCCTCCCTTCTTTAGGAAAGAAATTCCCCAGCGGATCTAAAACCCCTCCTAACACTGAAGGGATGCCAGCAGGCTGCTAATGGATTTGCTGCGGTGCTGGCTGCTGGTGAGAGAGCTTTCATGGCAGCTGAAATTCCTCCAGTGGCTGCATTTTTCTAAATCCAAGATGCGAAATGTGAAATGAGATTTGGGGCTCTTGAGGAAAAAGGGACCTTCCGGACTGGGCACAGAGCAGTTGCACAGCCTGAGATTATCCCCCATGAAGATCCAGTAGCTGATGCCCATAATTTTTTTTTTTAGATGATTACGCCATGTGCTAAAAATATGCGATTGAAGATAATTTTGAGGGTCAGATACTCTGTTAATGTGGGTGGAGCCTGAATTTTCTTCAATGTCCCTGTTTTGGGAGGGCAGTGTTTGCCATGTGTGGTGTAGGGTCCAAGGCCAGGTTTGCCCCCGTCCTGGCTCTCTGGTGGGGCACAGCAGCTGGGTATTTGGGTGTATAATTCTGTAGTGAGAAGGTAATGGCTGGCTCCAGGGAGATCAGACACTTCTCTCCAAGTGCTGACCTTTCTTCCCAAGTCTCTTCATAGCTTTGTTAATAAATCTGAGTCATCCATATTTCAACCTTCTGCATTAACCTTGGCTGTTTGTCCTGTCTCTTAACATCTCAGCGTCTTGTTTCTCAGAAATAAAATGTGTGGGTGTGTGGCTTTGTAAGACAAATGTTTAGGCTTTTCAAAAATTCTCTACAGTGCTGGTTGATTTTTCTCATTAGGGTGTTTCTCCACCATCCTCATTCCTGGTAGGTGGCCCTCCGCTTGTATCGTTGACTGACCGTCCCAATTTTGGGGCTATATTTGCCTTGTCCTTGCTGTTGTCAGTCAAGCAAGACACATACCTCTTTCCTGAGCTTTGCTCCCAACCTGAGTTTCAGAAATCTGCAAAACCCGAGCAACCGCCGGTGCGAGCGATGCCCCACGTAAGCACTGCGTAGGGAAGCCTGAGCTACCGGCACCGTGTGATTTTTATCAGCTGAAATCGCGTCTTGTAAATATTTACTGGAATTTCAAGTAGGGTTTATCTAATTAAAGCCAAGTAAAACTTTCCATGAAAAAGAGCTGCCCAACCGGTGGTTGCCAGTGGATGTTTAGGGACACATTTAAGAGCTGTGGGGAGAATATAGGATATTTTCTCAGCTCTGCTGCATCTGTGGCTCAGGGCATTCTTTAAGCGTCGAGTCACCTGTGCTGGGGACCACGTACCTGGTGGCCTTGAGCACATCCAGCTGTTCCTGGCACCAGCCTCCCAAATTTGCCATACTCCTGGCTGGACTGAGACGCAGGCTTGCCCGGCTGCCGTGGCACGGGGAAGTTGGTGGGGATTTGCTGGAATTTGCAGCAACGGTTGGGGTACAGGTCCCTCTCCCCACAGGGACAATGGTGTGTCCTCCCTGCCAGCTTTGGCACAAGGCAAGCAAATGCATCTTTTGAATTCACGCGATTGTCAAGGTTGCCAGGACCGTAAATGTCAAATCCAAACAGAAATTGCCCGGCTGCCGTGGCACGGGGAAGTTGGTGGGGATTTGCTGGAATTTGCAGCAACGGTTGGGGTACAGGTCCCTCTCCCCACAGGGACAATGGTGTGTCCTCCCTGCCAGCTTTGGCACAAGGCAAGCAAATGCATCTTTTGAATTCACGCGATTGTCAAGGTTGCCAGGACCGTAAATGTCAAATCCAAACAGAAATATTT